GCAGGTAAGTATTCTACTTCCTTCGCCCCCTTCTTACAACACCCGAATGCACCCTGCCACCATACGCAGCCAGGTTCATTCAGTCACGAATCCGAATGCAGTAGTATCATCAGCAGGGAGAATCCCCCACGGTGCTGGGGTACAGCCATGTCGTGCTCCACAGTCGATGGCAATCGTGAACAAATAAAGGTTCTCCCTCCATGCGAGGCTTAGCTAAGCGGCCTCTCCCTTTCTCTTTGCCTCACTCTCCCCCTGTACATAGCGTAGTCGGCCTCACGCTACTTACCACCGGCCTTTTAAGCGACGCACCGGTCAACAGGTAAGTCCCCGACGTTGTCGTTACCCCCTTTTTCTAAAATCGGGTGAACCTCCCGTTAAAGTAAAGGCAGGTTCATCATCGTTCTCTGAAGTCGCTCTCCCTCTCAACACACAACCTACGACCTTCATACTACCGAGTCTGCCTTTCGCTCCCGAAATCCCACGCTTCCATCAACCCCACCAGAGTCCAAAACCTTCGAGCACACCTTTAGCCCGCCCTACTCACTGCTTCACCATCAGCATCTACGAATGACTATGAAGCAGAAACGCGTCCGGGTTCATTCATATCTCCAGTCTTTTCCTCTTTTTTTATTTTTATTTTTATGCACAACGCAATCCTCGATTCTTGTACACTAATACTAACATACTAACTCTAGTTTTCACACTGTAGTCTAATTTCCCCTACCCAAAAAAAACCCATGACTTCCACCTTATTCCGCTCGACTCTGTTACAAAACGAGCAAAGGATCGTTCTCTTCCTCGCCGTTACACAACACCTCTTTCTCCTAACTCCCGTTTTACTAATCCTCTTCTAAATCTAACCCTTTCATTGGATTCGCCCTCCTTAGAAACCCCCGGTTTGTATCCTCCCTCACCCGTTTTCATCACGAAACGGGTGGGCTCTATGCTTTTGTTTTTACTTTTTCTCCTCCCATAGCCATCTCGGCGCAGTTTGCTCTCCCCTTATTGCCTATCCTACTAACCTACCAGCCAATCCAACATGACTAACACACTCGCCCGGGGCAAGACCCCCCTAAACCACCTTCCGCTTACCTAGAGCCGTAGACTAACACGAGCGCTCCTCCTTCTCCAACGAGCCCAAGCCTCTCTGCCTCGCCATCTCCGTTCTCCTTTCACTGGCCCGTCGCCCGTTGCCTATCGCCCGATGCTAGCTCCGTTGTTTCTTATCCCGCTCACCTGGTACGGCCCCCCGTCCAGATCCACCCCGCCTGGTTTCTCTTGCCAAGAACCCTTCACCCTCTGATACAGCGCTGCCCGTTGTTCCCCATCGGCTTACCCCCGACCTCCTAGCGCGAACCGTTGTGGCAGCGCTCTGGCATGGCTCCAGCAGGAGTGAATGAATAGCTGGGCGCGACCTCCCAATCTATACTTCTGGAGCTCGCTGGTCTGCTCGGTGTCGTCCGACCGGCTCCTGTCCCAGCGCCCGTCGGTTCGATGCGTGCCCGGGCGCCTCACCTTCGATTGTCCAACTCCCTTACTCCATCGCGAGTCCTCCCTATCACCGCCCGCACCCGGCGCCTGCCCACGTCCGGGTTCATCCGTCGTTGTACCACCGCGCCTTTGCTCTCACAGTGCCGGCCACCCACGCTGCACTATCGTTTGCCCCAACAGTCAGCCGGTCTGAGAGGGACTTCGGAGGGAACCAACTACTATACGGTTCGATTAGTCTTTTGCCCCTATACCCAAGTCCGACGAGGTAGTCGGCATAGCAGCATTGCTGTTATCTGATCCTGCCGGGTTTTACCCACCCGCTTCACATGTACCCCTGCGGCAGAACCTCGGACAGGTTCATTCGTCGTAGTGCCAAAGCCTTTCGGCCTGTGTTTCAGACAGTTCGCGGGTACACCCACTGCCCGTGACTTTGCCCACTATGGCGCCTAGCGCCCGTAGCCACGCCAGCCTTCTCTACATAATTTCAATTTTAACGGATGTCCCGAAGGTTATAGCCCGGGCTACGGGGTCAATCAGCCCCGGCCCTTAGTCAATTCAGAATATTCGACTTTTACTCAACAAGGCCCATCATTTGGGTTTAAACGCAGTCCGTTTTTCGACAGTTCAACGGTGTACCCTCTAAGATAGGCTCTTGGGGCCTGTCACCCCCTACTACGCCACGTTCCAAGGCAAAACGAGGCGCGGTTTTAAAAAAAACAGGTAAACAAAAATTATATAAAAACATGGGCAGCTCAGGCGTGGTCGCGAAAACAGTTTGTAATTGCACTCCAGGCAATCTGTGAATATAACACCCCCTCCCCACGCGCTCCTACCGCAGCCGACGAACASAACAGAAAGGGAAAAATAAAATAGAATAGCAGTAACGTCGGGGAACCGCGGGGTCGCTGGCACCTCGCCAGTCCTGCGGATTGGGCCCGCCGCCGCACCCGTAAGCAAAACCGGGGGGAATAGCCCCACAGGGCCCTCAACCCTTCGGTTTCCTCCACACCGCTCTGCTGCTGTCGCTTCGGCGTCCGCCGGCCTCGATCCCCGAACCTCTGTATTGCCAACCCAAATGTCGTAACCCATAGGGCTAAGCCCAAGCCTGAGACTAGTGCCCGGAGAGTACCATACGAGGTAGTGTGGCGCRGCGCTTTGGGCCAGCAAACGGCTGTGTGGCTCCCAGTGCCCGCGCTGGCTTGCTCACACCGTGCCATAATTGCCYCGCGCTRTCGTCCTACGACATCCCGCTTACCGCACGAAATCGCGCCGTTATTACCGATGCCGTCGTCGGGGTCGTTCTCTGCACGCGCGCTTGACTCGGTCAAATGTACCAATCAAACGAAAATATCCTTAATTCCTGCTTAATAAAAATATAAATAAATAATAATATCACTAAGCAAAACGACCGAGGTCCGGGCCGGTTTTACGATCAACAACAGAATCACGCGCGCCTCAAACCTGCGCGCCCACGCACTCGCTATTGTGGTCAACCACCCAGTCAACGCAATTACAAACGCAGCCGTGTTTAGCGCGGTATACTTAAATTTTAAACCAAACAATTTTCTGTTACTTGCAAAAACCAGGGTGGATACCCTTGTAAGGGTATTCGCACCGACAGCGTTCGCTTGAGGGTACGCGACCGTAGTATAGTCGGCCACTACGCCATATCCTGCAAGCAACGTCCTCACCTCATGGCAGGTAAACTCGGATCCTCGATCCATCACGAACTCCTTGACAAAAGGGTATCGCAGGTAACACTCCTCGATGCAGTTCACCAAAACCGGGCCAGTCTTCGTCCGGATAGCTCGTCCGTCCACAAACCCAGTAAGATTATCCCATGCATCGAAGATGTAGTTACACCCATTCTCCCCTGCTGGCATGAATAACAGGTCCTTGTGTACGACCGCACCCACCTCCCTTTCTAACCTTGGGTGTAGGGGTTCTCCAGGCCTCTGCGCTGACCTTTCTTGACAAGGTATACAGGACTGACAATATTTGATAACCATCGTCAGCATCCCATCCCAATGGTATAGCTCGCTTATCTTAGCGCATGTGGCACCTATCCCTCTGTGCCCCCCTGCTATACCATCGTGCAAGGCCGCTATGATATCAATCTACCGGTTCCTCCCGCATATAATCCTCTTGGGGTTCCCGAGTTGCCGCTTTATAAACAAGTGGCCGTCTCTTACCACATAGAGGTGCCTCATCTTCTGGGCCTTGACACTAACATCTTTATCCTTCATCTCACATGATAGGAGCAACCCCAATTCCCGGTAAATCCCATCGTACTCCTCTGTCCGAAACGCCTCTTTGACCTCTCCCTCTTCAAATTCGTCGTCCTGGCTTTCGGGAATTAGAATCTCTCCTGCCTCACGACTGAACGAGCCCTTCCGACCGAAGTCCCCCTGCAGGA